AATACTAGAGAGAATTTAGAGAGTTTCTTGAGAGTTGTTTTCTCATTTTTATCAAGAGAGAATTATCATTGTTTTCTCCTTGGTAGACTGAGATAAGTTGTAATTCATATTTTCTCATAGTGAAATTCTTCTACCGTTGCCCGTGGTTTTTACCCTATATTATTTAGGGGTTTTCCACGTAAATTTTGTGTCTTCTTTTTTATTTTCTCAAATTATCAGTTACGATTTTGCTTTATCCGATAGCCGTCTTCCGCAATAATTGGTATCAGAGCCAGGTCTGAGTGTGTAATATCTGCTTATTGTCTTTGTGGTTGCCACCAAAATGTGGATCCTCCAACATAAGAAAGTAAGCAGGTATTACCTATTCTTTGAAGGTTCCAAAGAACTATTCACGATAGTGAAATAGTGGGAGCTATCCGTAATAGAAGTTATGACAACGAAATTTGATATTGAAAATTTTAATGGGAGAAATTTCTCATTGTAGAAATTGAAGATGAAGGCCATCTTCAGGAAAGACGGTTGTTTAGCAGCTATCAGTGAAAGGCCGGTAGATTTCACAGACGACAACAAATGGATCGAAATGGACGGGAATGATATGACAAACTTTCATCTAGCATTAGCAGATGAAGTATTGTCAAGCATCGAGGAGAAGAAGACAGCTAAGGAGATATGAGATCATCTCACCAAATTGTACGAGGCCATATCGTTGCACAATAAAATTTTCCTTAAGAGGAAATTGTACACTCTCCGGATGTCAGAATCTACTTCAGTGATGGAGCACTTAAACACACTTAACCCTTTATTTTCTCAGCTTACATCCTTAAGCTGTAAAATAGTAGAACAAGAATGTACTGAACTTCTACTTCAAAGTCTATCGGATTCGTATGATCAATTCGTATGATCAACTCATCATCAACTTGACAAACAGTAATGTCACCAGTCTAGTTTTCGATGACGTTGCAGCTGCTGTTCTACAAGAAGAAAATCAGCGCACGAACAAGGAAGATAGACAAGTAAATCTGCAACAAGCAGAAGCGTTGACAACGATGAGAGGGAGATCAACATAACGTGGCCAAAGCAGCAGTCACAAACATGGTAGATCGAAGTCGAGAAGCAAGAAGAATTTAAAGTACTATAACTGTGGAAAGAAGTGTCACTTGAAGAAGGATTGTTGGAGTCTAAATAAAAACTCCAATCCACAAGGCAATACTGCAAACACTTCAGATGATAGAGATGTTCTATGCTGTGAAGCGTCAACTACCGTAGAAGGTAGAAAGAGATATGCAGACATATGGCTCATTGATCCGGGAGCAACATATCACATGACCTCAAGAAGAGAATGGTTCCATCATTATGAACTTGTCTCAGGAGGATCTGTGTATAGTTACAATGATCATGCCTTAGAGATCATTGGTATAGGAACCATCAAATTGAAGATGTACGACGAAACAATTAAAGTTGTTCGAGATGTGCGGCACATGAAAGGCCTGAAGAAAAATTTATTATCCTACAAATTGTTGGATAATAATGCAAACAAGATTAAAACACGGAAAGGAATCATGAAGGTGTTCCGTGGAGCGCTTGTGGTGCTGAAAGGCGAAAAGATAGCTGCAAACTTGTACATGCTGAAGGGAGAGACTTTGCTAGAAGCAGAAGCCTCTATTGCCTTATGTAGTTCAGATTCTGCAATGATATGACATCAGAAACTTGGACACATGTCAGAACAAGGAATGAAAGTCCTTGTGGAGCAAAAGCTACTTACAGGCTTAACAAAGGTATCACTTTCTTTGTGTGAGCATTGCATATAACAAGTAAACAGCACCGGTTGAAATTCAACACATCAAATTCTAGAGGCAAAAGTGTTCTAGAATTGGTTCACTCTGACGTATGGCAAGCACTAGTTATATCCCTAGGCGGAGCAAAATACTTTGTCTCATTTATTGATGACTACTCCAGGAGATGTTGGGTGTACCCTATAAAGAAGAAGTCAGACGTGTTTTTAACTTTCAAAAACTTCAAAGCGCGGGTGGAACTTGATTATGGAGATAAGATCAAGTGTTTCAGAACAGATAATGGAGAAGAATACACAAGTGAAGAATTTGATTACTTTTGCAGGAAAGAATGCATCAAAAGATAGTTCACAGTAGCGAACACTCCTCAACAAAATGGAGTGGCAAAGCGGATGAATAGAACATTGTTAGAAAGAACAAGAGCAATATTGAGGGACGCAGGCCTAGAAAAATCATTCTGGGCAGAAGTAGTCAATATCGCCTATTATTTGGTGAATCGAGCTCCATCAACTGCAATAGAGCTAAAGACACCAATGGAGATGTGGACTGGTAAACCAGATGATTATTCAAACCTCCATGTATTTGGAAGTATTGTGTACGTGATGTACAACTCCCAAGAAATCTCAAAGCTGGATCCAAAATCCAGGAAATTTAAATTCATGGGATATGCTGATAGAGTAAAAGGGTATCGCTTGTGGGATCCTACTGCCCGCAAAGTGATCATTAGCAGGGATGTTATCTTTGTAGAAGATAAACCACAAAGAAAAGAAGACGATGATAGCGCTGAAAAGTTAGAGACTACACATATACATGTTGAAAATGAGGTTGAACAAGGAGATTCTTTTGAAGCATAACCATCACATGATGAACAAGAACCAGAGAGTGATGAAGCTCCAACAACTCGTCAATCAGATCGTGTGAGAAGACGTCCCAGTTGGCACTCAGATTATGTTATAGAAGGTAATATTGCATACTGCCTTTTAACAGAGGACGGTGAGCCATCAACATACCAGGAGATTTATATGCTCCAGCCTGAAGGTTTTGAAGAAAAAGAAAAGAAGAACTTGGTTTGCAGATTGAACAAATCTCTGTACGGTCTAAAGCAGGCGCCGAGGTATTGGTATAATAGATTTGATTATTTCATTATGTGCCTTGGATACAACAGACTTAATGCAGACCCTTTTGCTTATTTCAAGAGGTCTGGTGATAACGATTTTATTATATTGCTATTGTATGTGGATGACATGTTGGTTGCAGGACCCAACAAAGATCATATTGAAGAATTTAAGGCACAACTGCTAGGGAATTTGAAATGAAGGACTTGGGATCAGCAAACAAGATTCTAGGGATGCAAATTCACCGAGACACAAGTAATATGAAGATTTGGCTTTCACAAAAGAATTACTTAAAGAATATCTTGTCACGATTCAACATGCAAGATTGTAAGCCAATTTCTACCCCTCTTCCTATTAACTTTAAATTATCCTCCAGTATGAGTCCTAGCAGTGAAGAAGAGATGATGGAGATGTCTCGAGTACCGTATGCATTGGCAGTGGGAAGTTTAATGTTCGCTATGATATGCACAAGACTAGACATTGCACAAGCAGTGGGAGTGGTTAGTCTGTACATGGCGAATCCAGGCAAAGAGCATTGGAATACAGTAAAGAGGATCCTGAGATACATCAAAGGGACCTCAAATGTTGCATTATGTTACGAATGATCAAATTTACTTATTAATGTGTATGTTGATTCTGACTATGCAGAGGATTTGGATAAAAGCAAATCTACTACAGGATATGTGTTCAAAATTGCTGGTGGAGTTGTAAGCTGAGTTTCAAAATTGCAGTCAGTTGTGGCTACATCTACAACAGAGGCAGAATATGTAGCAGCTACACAAGCTAGTAACGAAACAATTTGGTTGAAGATGCTATTGGAGGAGCTTGGGCACAATCAAGAGTATGTATCTCTATTTTGTGACAGTCAAAGCGCCCTGCATCTAGCAATGAATTCAGCATTTCATTCAAGGACAAAACACATACGAGTTCAATACCATTTTATTCGTAAAAAGGTGGAAGAAGGGACGGTAGATATGCAGAAGATCCATACCAAATACAACATAGCAGATTTCATGACGAAGGTGATCAATGCTGATAAATTTACTTGGTGTCGATCCTCTTGTGGCCTGTCAGAAACGTAAGCAACATGATGGTACAAGGTAGAAAGAATGGTGTGAATACATGATTGTTCTAATCAAATCTTCAAGTGAGAGATTGTTCAAAGTCAAAATATGATGGCTATCAAAAACATGTAGGCGGCTAATTAGGCAAATTGGCAGCACACAATTATTGGATTTAGACAATGGTTAAATTATAATTTAGTTATTGTAATTTAGGATATTTATAAATTAGTCATTAAACTTCAACTATAAAATACCCTAGCTCATTTAGCTTCAAAATCATCCTAAAGCATTCTAGCTTTCTTCCAATACTAGAGAGAATTTAGAGAGTTTCTTGAGAGTTGTTTTCTCCTTTTTATCAAGAGAGAATTATCATTGTTTTCTCTTTGGTAGATTGAGAGAAGTTATAATTTCTATTTTCTCATAGTAAAATTCTTCTACCGTTGCCCGTGGTTTTTATCCTATATTATTTAGGAGTTTTCTACGTAAATTTTGTGTATTCTTTATCTTTATTTTTATTTTCTCAAATTATTAATTACGATTTTACTCTATTCGATAACCGTGCAACATTTTCTTCTTCTTTTTCTTTCTCTTGCTTCTTAATGGAGGATTCGTGGATCCGTACGATTTTTTTCCCGTAAATGATAAAGCAATGTATCGTATGAAATTTCAATGCGTTGCGCGCCATTCATCTTTTGATAGCTTTAACTCTATTTTTCTCTCATTTTTAACGGTTTTCTCTTTCACCACTGCCAAACACTTAACTCCACCGTTGTTCTACTTCCACTGGAGTTTGATGCTTTCATTGTGGGGTGGTAGTGTTTTTTGGTTAAAGAGAAGAGATTTTCCATTTTTGGGAATTTATTTTATTTCTTTATTTTGTAGCCTCAGCAGTCAAAAGCAAACTTAATGATAACTGAGAGAAAAAGCTTATTCGGTCTCTTTTGTCCAGAGCTGATCTTCTCTTCATTATTTCTTGTCATAACTCAACTCTAAATTTCATTTTAGGCTTACTTTTTATCCCCCCCCCAATAAATTTTCCTGTTTTTTTCAATAATCATTGCGTATTTATATCAGTTGATTCATTCATTTTTGTTTTCTAATTGTTTTATACAATGTGCAGATCATGACGATTTTTTTACATTCCATTGAACAACACTAATATCTTCAAAGATTAAAGCTTTTTCTTTTCAGTCGTGCAGAGATGCCAGGTATATTAATTAATCCTACTATATGTTTCTTGGTTTTATTATGGAAAATGCATTTATATCCTCTTTGATTTATTGTATTGGTAAAAGGGGTGGACGAAATTGGTGCATATGATGAAAGCAGAGATGGAAAGTCTGATTTTGATAACTCTGAGGATGAAAGAAGGAGATCCAAAATTGGGAATCTGAAAAAGAAGGCCATAAATGCATCCAACAAGTTCACTCATTCTATTAAGAAAAGAGGGAAGAAGAAAATAGACTACAGAGTTCCTTCTGTATCCATCGAGGATGTCAGGGATGCAAAAGAGGAAGGTGCGGTGCACGAATTGCATCAAAAGCTTCTTCTTAAGGATTTGTTGCCTCCTAGGCATGATGATTATCATACTTTGTTGAGGTCAGTTGTTGCTTTGGGCAAATTCCAGTGCTCTATTTGTTTATATCAGGCCAACTTTCTAACGTATGCTGAGAATTGTTACTTATTAAACTTGTAGATTCTTGAAAGCTAGAGAGTTTAATATTGAGAAAACAATCCAGATGTGGGAAGAAATGCTTAAATGGAGGAAAGAGTTTGGAACAGATACCATTTTGGAGGTGAGAAATGTTTACTTTGTTGTATTTCTTTCATTGCTTGTTCACTAGAGAAGAGTTAACAGAAAATCTCAAATGAATGTATGCCATTACATTGACTGGTTCAAATAGTCTGGCACTCTTAATTACTATGTTTGTTTCATGGTTAAGGGCTAGGACAAGTTTAACCTTTTGTCGAATGAACAGGATTTCGAGTTTGAAGAGCAAGAGGAAGTATTGCAATACTATCCCCAAGGGTACCATGGAGTTGATAAGGAAGGGAGACCTGTTTATATCGAGCAGCTAGGAAAAGCATATCCAAGTCGGCTTATGAAAATCACTACCATAGATCGTTATCTTAAGTACCATGTCCAAGAGTTTGAGAGAGCTCTATTGGAGAAATTCCCTGCTTGTTCAATTGCTTCAAAGAGACAAATCTGTTCAACAACTACCATATTGGATGTACAAGGACTGGTATTTGACACTTATCTTTATCGTCCTTCAACAAATTGATTTTTGACAACATTAATAATACCATTCTGGTAAAACTTCGCTAGCCTTTCAACTTTTTGAAAATTTTGCATTGTTATTCTACTCAACATTTTTCTTTTAGCATGGTTCTAGACTAAAAGTGAATGCAAAAGCTTTTTTTACCATAATCTTTTCTATGGCATCATTTTGATGATGACTTGGAACGGAGACATTAAGAGAGTGTGCAATTGGGTCTGTCATATTTTCTGTGGGATGTTGCAATACGTTCTTCCTCTAGTGGTTCGTGTTTGTTATTTCCATTATGAAACCAAGTGGTAGAATTATACTCACTGATTACATGTTTTTGAACTGTGTACCATTTTTTATTTCCTCCACAACAGTCAAATGGTTATAATTGGTGGTTAAGTGTTGTTTTTGAAGTGATTGCTCTTCCCCTAATCGGTGGTTAAATGTTATTCTCGAATGTAGGGCATGAAGAATTTTAGCAGGACTGCTGCAAATCTTCTGGCTGCCATGAGTAAAATAGACAACAGTTATTACCCTGAGGTATCTGATCTAATCCGTTGATGTTTTTACTTTATCTTGCTATTTGGAAAGTAATTATCTTTTATTTTTTTACAGACATTACATAGAATATATATAGTCAACGCTGGTCCTGGATTCAAGAAGATGCTTTGGCCTGCTGCTCAGAGATTCCTCGATGAAAAGACAATTGGGAAGATAAATGTAAAGGATATGGCTTTAGGGATTCTTCTTTCTATTTGCTTTCTCATGCTCAGTGGTCATTGAATGCTCTATTTGCTAATTTCAGGTCTTGGAGCCCAAATTTCTCGGTAGGCTACTGGAGGTCATCAATTCTAGGTTTGTTAAATATCTGTTCATTCTTAGGCTTGAGAGAATTCACCCTGCGATATCTCTTAATCCCTTGCTTTTTCTTCACCTCTTTCAGTCAGTTGCCAGATTTCTTAGGAGGGTCATGCTCTTGCTCTACAGATGGAGGGTGTCTTAGATCCAATAAAGGACCATGGAATGATCCGGAGATAATGAAGGTAGGCATCCTTTTAGAATTAGTCCATGGAATGGTTGTTAGACATGATTTTAGGTTTTACTGAACTTCCATCTGGAGATTAACATGTGTATTGTTTCCACTGATAGCTTGTACATAATGCGGAGGCAACATTTGTGAGGCAAATTACCAGAGTATTGAATGACCAGCATAACTATGAATCATATGTACAAATACAATCACTAAATGTAAGTGTCGTGTCTTGCAACCATTCAGTAAATTAATATTCTGTGACTATAATATATTCTCATGCATGTGTTTCAACATATACCCTTGTCAGGGAATGACCAGTGACACATCAGTAGGAGAGTCTGGATTAGAGATGGGTGACCAGTGTTCTCCAACTGGACTAACAAGCTCTGCATTTCGTTGTCTGGCACCTGTTCGTGAAGAAGTGAGTTGCAAAAGCAGAGAATTCTGTTTTATTGGTAACTGGTGTGCATTTCTGGCCTTTTTAATAAGATCGCTTGTGATTTATGCAGGTGAAGGTGTCAGATCCAAATGCTTATTATAGTTGCGATGATGGTTTCCCTAGGATTGAGAATACTATAGAAAGTGACCAAGGACCGATATGTTCCCCCAATCAGTTGCCCAATTCTAGTATTGTGGATAGCCAATCTTATCAAAGAGCATCTTTTCTTTCTGAAGGTATTTGAAAATGCTATTTCATCACAGTAATCAATTTCTTGTTTATTATCTAATCTAGTGTTTGATGATGATAATTTACCATAATATAGTTGATGGATGTTTTCTATTATAATCCCCTACCCATTGGATTTTCTTTTTCCCCTCTAAAATGGTATTGAATTTCAGGGAATTCAATCACACATTTGTTAGACTCTGTTAAGGAAAAATTTGGGAGAAGGAATATTCATTCTGTGGCAAAAATGCTAATAGCTTTATTGGTTAGACTGGCTGCTCTTATTCACACTGTTCTATTTGAATCTTGGAGAAGGCCAAACTCTACTCATCCTTCCAATATGATGGAACCCAACAGGAATGGCCATTCAAATTCAACTGTGCAAGAAGCTGTTAATGAAAAAGAACATGTCCGTCCTTGTATTGAACGTCTTCAGAAACTTGAGAAAACATTTGAGGAACTTAGCAACAAGCCTGCTGTAATTCCCGTGGAAAAGGACAAAATGCTCATGGAATCTCTTGACCGGATCAAATCTGTTGAGTTTGACCTCAACAAAACAAAGCGAGTATGATTCATCTTGGCTGCTGTATAAAGTCAGAGGTTCAGATGCTGGATTTGATTTCAATGCTAATAGTTTTCTTGACAATGGTGCCTTTTTATTCAGGTCCTACATGCTACAGTAGTGAAGCAACTTGAGATTGCTGAGTGGCTGGATAATATACGAGCATCTAAATATCATGTAAGTTTCATTCTCCATAAAATAGTCCAATTCTACAGGCTTGGAATCTTGAGCTTGATCCTATTCTGATGAGGTTGCATGTGTTTTAATATTCTGTCAAATGTGAGTCAGCTGAATGAAAGGAAATATGGGGTCTAGCCTCTAGATCAAAATGAAGCCATTGATTGATAATTTCACACCACCTAGTTAATCCACTTTCGATAGAGAAGTGTTATAAAGTCCTATGAAATGAAATATGGGGTCTAGCCTCTAGATCAAAATGCTGATTTATAATGTTGGTGTTTATAGAAATTACTTTCAAGTCACTGTTTAGTCGAATCGAGGAGTGATGGATGCTGGCATACTTGTTGGCTATTGTTGCAGCAACGAAGATTGTTGTGTGGAGATTGACCTATGTTTTAGATCATGTGAGACCGAGGCTCTTGGAGTAGGAGGTTGATGCTGACAAAGCTCATCATGAGGGGCCAGCTTCGCCGGCGGCACTGCACAGTCGATAATGAAGCATAGGGATGGACTTTTACCTCCTAGCTTCTTCTTCTTCTTCTTCTCCCTTTAACCACTTGCTGTAAGTACGACATGACTGAAGTTATAGTTGTTCAGTAGGGTTTTTTCTGAAGCACAGCTTTGAAACTGTGCATGTAAAGAGAAAAAAATATTCATGTATCAGTGAAAGCATCTTCTTGCAATTTTCACAGGCGGCAGGATTTTTGTTTCCTTGTCGTTGTATTCGAGTATGTCCTGCTTTAACTGTAAAAACGAAGCTTGTAAAATGGAATTTTGAAATCTTATCTTCCACTGAGACAACCACAAATAATACAGAAGTCCAAGAGAACATAAAAATGCTTACACTATTAACCCATTTTCACCACCTGGGACTGAAGAGTGACCATTCAAGACCAGACCTCGAAAACAGAACAAACCATTATGATTCATATCCAGGCAAGCACTCTTTTGAGGTCACCTCTTGGTGCTGAATGGGCTTTTTTGCAGGCAAATTCTTGGGTCATAAAGCGTCCACCCATGTGCAGTTTAATTAAGTTGATGCCAGCCAGCCTGCATCGATGCTTTAATGAGAGAATAAAGAGCCAGAAGACGTGGTATGCAATAACTGCCAGAGCGCTGTGCTGAACTAAATTCTGTTGGAGTTTCAGTCAAGCCAATCATTTCCTATAAAGACCCTAAAAAAGAAAGTACCATCGAACGTTAATTTTGTTCATCGATGGTAATGACATACAGGAATAAGTGCTTTTGTTCAGATATCATTAGCAAAACCCATTAACTATTTTGGTAAACCTTTGTAAAAAGATGAAGTAAAATGATAATAGTTATTTATTTGCAGAGTTAGTGCCAATGTGTATTCATTTTTTGTTTGTGTCCTATAATGGTATTATGTTAGCAAGTCTTAACCTGATGGTGGGATCAGGGATGGATCAAGGCAGAGGCGGATGAGGATGGTCGCCCCTAAAATATATAAAATTATCATATATCTTAGATTATGTTAGCAAGTCTTAACCTGATGGTGGGATCAGGGATGGATCAAGGCAGAGGCGGATGAGGATGGTCGCCCCTAAAATATATAAAATTATCATATATCTTAGATTTTTTTATTTATTTTCTATTGAAATTTTATTTTTATTTAAAATTTTATAAATTTAAATTCTCTCCGTAAAATTTAATAAGTTTAAATTTATTCTCATAACATAAAATCTTGTATTGTCTTTGGACAATAGGTTGGGCAGAAGACTTATGCCCCATGGGAGTCTTGGACCCAAATCATGGTCAATTTATGCACACATTTTTCTAACAATTTCATAACCCATTTACATCAAAGATTAAAATATTTAAATTCAGCTAATTTTCTTTAAATGGAAAAGAAAAATAAAAGAAAATTGTTAAAAGTAACTTTTAGTCTCTCATTTTCTAACTTAGTCGCTAGACTTTTTTGTTCACATTAGTACCTGACCTTAACTTTTTAGTCATTTCGATGTTGAAAAACTCTGAGATTTTATTCCAGGTGTGACAATATCAGATTTCCACAGCATAATGTGACCAAAAAATTGATTCGAAGAGCAAATTAGTTTGTTCTAATTTCAGGGATTAAAAGTTGTGTTATCCCAAGAAAAACCCTACCCTTACTCGTTTTAGAGTTAGTGGCTGGAAAAAAGAGGGGGGGGGGGAAACAGTGATGAGCTGTTATCAAGTTTCAATGATAACAGGAAACACGGCTTCTTCTCTGCTGTCTCTCCGTCATCTCTATTTCATATTTTATCTCAGATTACCATTAAAATTCTCTTAGTTTCAGCAGTTCAACCTTCTCCTTCTCCTATTGCTTGAACTTGAACCTGAACCAAAAAACAGATAAACAAAAGCTGCTGCAAGATTAAACAAGTTGATGGGGACAAATAAGTTGTTGTATCGGTTTTCCGTGTTCTTCTTTCTGCTGGGTTTCTCTGCTTCCACTTCGATTTCAGGTAATTTATCAATAGATTTCATAGCTTTCATGCTTTTTTTATTCTTTTAACATGCGATGATTTGAATAACTGCAGATGGTGTTTTCAGCTCTTTCACTTCTACCGGAAGGAATCTCCTTCAGGCCAAGAAAGGTTCTTTTTTTGACCAGATCTGATGCCTTGGTTAGGGTATTTCACTTCTTGGTGTGTGCTCATTCGGGATCTTGCGCCATTTTAGGCAAATACATGAGTTTGCTACTCAAATGAATATGATTTAGGCTGTTGAAAATCTTTACCATGGTGCAGAAAGGGATTGCCTTTCTGGTTTCCATGAAACTGGTGATCTGGAATCTGCTGCTGAAGTGTTTACTTGAACTGTGAATTCTGCTGATTTGAAATAGTAGTTATTTCTTTTTTGGGTGAGGCTTAGTTGTTTAACCTTGAAAGGGATATATAATTAATTCTTGATGTACTATTCCTTATATTTTGCAGCTTGTCCTGTTAACTTCGAGTTTCTGAACTACACAATTATCACAAGCAGATGCAAAGGACCCAAGTTTGCACCTCAAAGCTGTTGTTCAGCCTTCAAGGATTTTGCTTGTCCCTATGCTGAACAGATCAATTACTTGACAACCGATTGCGCTTCGACGATGTTCAGCTACATTAATCTTTACGGGAAATACCCGCCCGGCCTTTTTGCTAGCGAGTGTCGTGAAGGCAAGTTAGGGCTGGCTTGCCCTGCATTGCCACCATCCGCATCAGAGAACTCCAGCGGTAGTCGGCAGCTGATTAGTAATCCATCGATGCTGGTAGTGGCCGCAACTATAGCCGCTGCCATGTTGTTATGAAAGCCCGGAGAAAAAATCCCAATCATTCCATTTGTTGATACATGCATATGTTCCCACTTCTGACATTGGGAATAAGAGTTACAGTGTTCTCATTACATCAGGTTTGTTCTTCTCGCATGCTTTTATTTTTATTTTCGATTTGTTTTGTAGACAGACATTCCAGTTACAGATTTAAGTTAATTTAATTATTTTACGTTTGATATGGCTAAATATGCCAGAGTTTACAGCAGGACTAGCTGTGTTTATGGATAATTACATCATAATTAATATTCTATCCATTCAAGGGCTGATCTTCAATGTGACACTCCTTAAGAACAAAGTTCCGTAAAAAAATATAACTTAAAGAAGCTCGTGTTGTTACTATGCCCTCCATCTCTTAAATCCAGGCCAGGAAGGAAAATATTACAGTAGCTTAATAGTGCTACCATAAATCTTGCCACGCCAAGAAACCCAAATCTGCTGCATTATTGCTATACAAATACCAGTGATGATGAAGATGTTCGACTTTAGAAAGTACCCCAATATGCTTCACCACATGATGTTGGCCTTCGATTTACGTCGGAACTGCTTTTTTGTTATGCACCACGAGCCTGGGAATGTGCTTAACTGCAAAACACTAGGTCTATGTTAATAAATATACCATATAAAAGAATGGGGCATTTTCTTATTATCGTAAAATATCGTGTGACCACTAAAGCTAGCAGCTCTGAAAAGCCTATGCCACTTCAATCCGTATCCTAGAACCTCTGAATGCATTAAAGAACTTTCAAGAATGAACATACACCTGCTGGACATATCTGTCACTTGCATCTAAACTTGAGTAGCATTGAAAAAACCAGAGCATCTTGAATCATTTCTTAAGTGACAAAACCATCAGACATCGGTAAAACGGAGGTCAGATTAAATGCAATTGAACATTGAAGTTAATGTTAAGTGATAGGGTTGAGTGGTACTTACATTGCTGATAAATTTTGCCCCAAACCATGCAGTATCAACACCATGAGGAGGAGGAATGACTTTTATTCCATTTGCTACAGAAGGGGAAAGAATCTCATATAGCTCATTCTCTAACCTCTCTGGGAACAGTTCAAACAAACTCAAAACCGCAGATATATCATGCTACTGTCTATTTACTTGAAATGAAACAAAAACGAATGATAAAAGACGGAAAATGCAGATTCTACCTGCCAGTCCTGGTAAACATCCAGTTCCCCCAGACAAAACTATAGTCTTGAACCAAGCATCATCACCTGTCAATTCTGCAGCATGGCAATGATCCATGCAAAGTGCTACTGCCTGATGCAGTCCCATGGCACGCCTGTACAAAGATATAACTTATAAACATTCAAAATTTTCTTCCTTGTGTTTCGGTTCCAAATCATTTGCAAGGAGTCAATAAGATCTCAAGAACATCACTTGTAATCAATTAACCTTTTGATAGTTCATAAACATTCTACATTTTCTTTACTTGTATTTTGTTCCTTGTAGTATTTTGTTTCTTATAGTATTTTGTTTTTAATCATTTGCAACTTGCAAGGTATCAATAAGTTCTCAAAAATAGCACTCATGTTTCTTCCTTAATGACTTGAGAGAAATAATTTTATTGAAGCTACTATTTACAGACTTACACTCCTGCAATACGGGGCTGGAATAAGATCTCTCCAGTTTGAAAGCGTTCCTTTGACAGAGTAAACCAGCCCACAGCTGGAACCTCCAGTGATGCTCGAGTATCTTTGATAGTTCGGTTTTATAATCAGTAGCAACATAGCATAGGTTCTGTATTTTAGTCAAACTAAAAGAGTATCAAGAAGATTGAATGAGCATGTTGCCAATTTACAGCAAGAAAGCAAAAGGAAATGATCTTGAATGAACATCAGAGTGAAGATCTGGAGTCTCCAAAGGTCAACTAGGCATTGATTCCAAAAGGGAGCAAAAACATCAACGTAAATTTATCAATTTTAAACACCTTTGACACTACTAAACCATATAAAGGAAATAGCATTAACCCTAAGTTGCAGGGGATTACATCATACCTCTTTCAGTGTCCGCACAGTGTACAACGATTCAAAGTTAACGTTGTTCTGCTGCAAGAGTTCCCTGAGGTATCCTGTGAGTTTCAATGCTCCCAGTCCAATAACTTCAAAACCCACCTTATGCATAACTTTCCCATTTAAAACTATAAAACACATAGAGTAACCAATACAAATCCAGCATTCAGTTATTACAGAAAAATGGAGTAAGAGGACATAGTAAAATACACATTAGACTGAAAATAGTCACAATGACTGGTTCTTTTAATTCCCTTTTTAACAGGAAAGAAAAAAACTAAGGGATTAAGAAGATAGACATGCACAAGACATCATAAAATAATTCTAATAATAATAAACACTGATAAATCACCATCAATGTTAATTATCAATCAACACATGCTAAAACAACTTGAGAGAAATCAATTACATACTCGGAACAACAGAAGTAACCTGGAAACCAATGTTAACAACAATTCCAGATGTCCGTCTTGCTGCAAAGAGAGCTAAAGTTGCCTGCATTAAATCATATGAAAAAGTCATTGAATTAAGAAGAAAGGAATACTAAAGGACTCTGTCTTTGAAGAGTGAGTTGGAGAGGATGCTACATCTCCACATGTGACAAATAGGGGAAGCAGTGGAAGATTTAAGTTTCATCCAACTTGAACCGTGCATGAGTTTTGAGAGGGTATAAGCATGGTAAACAACCATGTTCCTTTTTTCCCCTTCCTTCGACTATTTCTTGTTTGGTTATTTCTTTTGAGAACAATAATTAATAGACAATATCTACAGATACAATGATGTACCTGACTGACAGCACAAACAGCAGGAACATTCATGTCAAACAATACAGTGTGGATGGCGTCTCTAAGCTGCCTTCTTGATGCTTTGGCGGAATCAGTATCTGGAGAAATGAATCCAGAAGAGGTGAAAACCAGAACGTCAACCTTAATAGTCTAACTATCACTTGAAAGAAAATATATTATATAGTAGCTAACCATCATAATGACATAATGGAATAGACAGGACGATGGGTTGAGTGGATGGTCTAACCTGGCATCCTGTGGAAGAACTACATCATCATATTTGCATTCCAAAATCACCATTCGAGAGAAAGTTAAAGAAATTAGAGAAAAGCCAAGAAAAAAGAATGAGCAGTTGCAATGCAACAAACCTGCTATAAATCGTGGCAAAAAAATGTCTAAGTCTAGAATACAATGGAGATTCGATGTTCCCGAATTCCTGATGAACAAGCATACCAGAAAAGTCAGATACAACATGTTAAATTAGCATCATGTATACAAGGAAGCTGAAGTGCTGAACACATCTAACAACGGAATGGAGTTCTCCAACATCTGGAAAAAACCCTTTTTTGTAAATCTTACAAGCTTACCAGAAAAGTAGCCGACTGCCCAGATGGACAAGCATACTTGCTCCAACCAAACTTGCAATAGCCGGAACCGCCATTGTAACCAAAAGGAGCAAAAAAGATGAAGACAAATCAAGAACAGCCCAGAGTTTAACTTTGCTAAAACTGAGTTAATTAGCATCAGTAGGGGGAGAAAGGATTATGGTATCTAAGACTTGAGAGATAATTAAATTACCATCAATAATAACAGAACCAGGGACTTGTGCACGTTGACCATAAATGCGCACGAAAGATAACTCCCCCGCGTGACTTGGGAATGGTCTGCAAATCAAAACGTACTTGGCTCAATTACTCCACGCTGACTACGGAAACTCCAGTTCAGAAAATGTAAAATGAACACACAGACTGTTCCAATAAAATTAAACCCAACCCTAAACCTCAAAATGATCACGAGACAAAACGATCAATCCAATTGTTTTAAAGTGATAACCAGAAGAAGATGAAAAGGGGGTACGAACTGGAGAGGATATCCGACTCTTAAGTTCATCTCGGCGAAGAAAACAGAGTCCCAGTGATCCCCGTTGTGTTGGTGGTTCTGGAGGAAGTAAATCCAAAGGCGATTATCGGATACAAGCAATCTCCAGGCTCGGCTAACGTAACTGAGCTTGATGGCGTCCTTGGGACCCACTAATCTGAGTATCTGTAGCAGAATATCCAGCGGGATACTATCGAACAAAACTCCCAGAGACGATGAATCCAGTAAGGTCGCTGCAATAGACGAAGATGAAGAAGCTGTTTGGAAGGGGGAAGAAGTACGATTGGAGACTGATCCCCACACTTTCCTCAGCAGCGTGGCCATGGCTAAGCTTGAAAGGAGTGGATATTGAGATGAGACGGAGAAATGGCGGAGCTAAAAGGAACAACGACACGAGTTGGGTGGGTGGCGTGGTAGTTGGCGGTGACGTGGGAATACTGGATCAGGACACGTGGGTTAAAGCAGCTGAGTAACGGAGTTTCCAAGTTTACCATAATTTATAGATAAAATAACCTCATTAACCAAAAATGTTTTATAATATACGATTTTAATCAATTTTTTTTGAATTTGCCAAAATAACAAACTAAATCGTAATGCGATCGATAATTCGCAACACGATCTCCGGTATCGCAAATCAGTTTCCAGATTCGCAACGCGAACTTCGACTATCGCAATGCGAACTTGGACTATCGCAACGCGAACTTGGATTATCGCAATGCAAACTTGGACTATCGCAATGCGAACTTGGACTATCGCAATACGAATATGTAAATTGCAATGCGATAGTCGCATTGCGATTTATTCCAAATTCGTTGCGATAATCCAAAATCGCAACGACTGGTGGTATTGCATTTGTTTCTTAAGAATTTTCTCTAAAAAGATAGTATTCGTGCGGACGTGTCGAAGACACGTACGACCACGACCACGACCACGACCACGACCACGACCACGACCCGACCCGAGACGAGACTAGACGGACGGCGGCGGCGGCGCGCGAGAGTCCCCCTTGTTCTCTATCACTCAACAAGAAAATGGGAAAGCCAAGCCTTAAATACCATTCCCAATAGTGTTTCCAATACTATGTGGGATTGAGCATTACCAACACTTGTTTCCAATACAATGTGATTATTCAGGAAACAATTAACAATCATGCACCTTAAAACAACTGAATCAGCAACCAATTGCATTAGTATTATACGATTAAATATGTCATAATTAAAAGTCAATCTACAATCAATCGCGATTATT